CTCTATCTAGTTGGTCCACTTAACTCAGTATGGTTTATTTCAGAGCTGCTCCAAAAGTTGGATATCACTTATATACAGTCCCTGCAGGCCCTCCCATAGTTGCCACTAAATGTGATAGAAGGGAAAAAAATTTTTAAAAATGGACAATAATATTAATTGTAATATAATCTTCATGTAATTTTTACTACATTTAAATATAATCAAATGCAATTTCTGAACTGGTCCCATCTGTTCCTTGGTTCTGCCTCAGTCTTCTTTTGAAAATGCAGCCTCCAGCGTAATTCAGATTTCACTCCTGATGTACCCAAGCCAGCATCCACAACTCTTCAAGGTGGAGTATCTTTAACAAGCTTTTACTCTTTCAGCTACAGTATTATGCAAATGTTTGATGCAAAAGGTGTATGACCTATGGTTCTTCCACACCAATTAGTAAAGAGACATGAAGTAGCTTTGGTGGAGTTGCCTTAGGACTGTGGAATATTTGTCCCAGATAATTATCAATACCTTTAGAAGACCTTTAGGGTGGACTGTAAGGCATTTGCATGTTAGATGGCTCTTGACAAGCCCGGATCAGGCATTTAACATGAGCCAGATTTCAGTCTTTTTTTCCCCATCTGATTTTATTGAATAGATAGCATGCCTAGTTGATTTTAAATGCAATCTACCCCAAACCTTCATAATGGAGGGAAATGGTACAGCAGATAAATACACATTAATTAAATGTGACAGGTGTGGGTTGGTTAGTTGGTCATTTTTAAAAATATATATATCTTCCTAACTTGTTCCTTCCTAGATTATGCAGCCAAGAAGAATCAAAGAGAACAAAGTAGCAAAGAGCAAAAAAATCCATGTTCTGATCAATGTCATCTATGTTCAGATAGCGATGAGGAAGAGGACGGTGTGTGTGCTGAGCCAGGCAACTCTCTCCTTTTAGTGATTAATAGAAAGTATCACCATTTGCTGCATAGGATGAACAACTGCTTTGAAATGCTAATATCACACATGTAGGAGTGGGTGTTAATTATCGATGAACATTGCCCCCTCATTAATATCTTTAAAGATTTTAGTTCACTTGTAAAACTGCCTTTCAAAACTCATTTTAAAACAAAGCCCAGTACTTGTATATTTCTCCTTTCTTTGTCTTCCAGAAAGATGTGCTGTACATTTCAAAACATCTGAGAATCATGAAAGCCCCAATAAGCCATTGATGGGAGATTAATTTAGAGCTGCTTTCCCAGAAGGTCAAGAAATGGGGAGGTGCAATTTTTGACAGCAATGTTTTTCTTTTTATCTACTGCAGCCAGCCGTCACAAAGTGAGGAATGAGTTACCAGGTGAGAAACTCAAATCCTGAAATACAGTGGGAGGACACATCCCTTTTGAATTCATTTTTTTCTTGCATCCATGCAAACAGAACCTTTATGCAAGTGTAAACCTAATTATATATCTTAAATGTATTGCTAATGTTAATTATTACTTTAAGCTATCTTGCTTGCTTGCTCTGACAGAAATGGGAGAGTTTCTTTACATCATAATGTGCCTATTTCAATCTGATATTCTGATTCAGATAGCCATTTCATAAAATCAGTAGAAGGAAGGTTGCTGCATGCTTTATATTTTGCTACATGGAAGATAGTACCAAGAAAGAAAATGAATATATAAAGTAATGAAAATCAAGCCCAGGAAGGAAAAGGTATCTTAGGAAATATTCTTAATATGCCATTACAATCAGTTAATTATATTTTTCAAATCCAAAAATTTCTGTCCAGTAACATTTAGAACCTGTGATTTCCAAGGTTCACATGAGCCCCATACTCGTAAATGACAACCATGAATTCCCCTGGAAGACAAAGAAATATATACACATACTGTCCTCTTGTGGTAGGTCCTAAAGCATCCATAGATAGGATAAGCGGTTTCCAGCCCAGTCAAGGAAGGGAAACAATATTATTCCAAAGTCAGAATTTACACAAAGAACTGTAATGTCCAGAGTGATCCATAGAAATGCTGATAGACTTTTTTGAACTTAATCCCAATATTAGGGCTATTTTTCTCAGAGGTATGGCATTGGGTCCAGTGTAAAAGAAGCAAAGAATTTAGATAGTTCAAAGGAGAATACTCTCTGTACACACACAGGTCTCTAGCCAGGTATAGGCAACCTGTGCACATGTTGCTGAACTACAATTCCCAGCTTCTTCCAGCATTGGTTATGCTTCCTATTTAGAACACAGGAAAATTAATTTCTGATTCTAAATTCAGCGCTCATACTGTTAAATATAGGCACAGAAATACTACATGGTTTGAATGTAAATAAATCTACTAGGACATCTGTATGTTAGTACTAACATCAGTCCTGATTCATGAAATCCTATAATATGTCTGGTCTATTCACCCAGTATAGTATTTTCATATTGACATAAATCTGTATGATGTGGAATTTACAGCAGTCCTTGGTTGTATAGTTATGGTTGTGTAGTTATTGGCAATTGCAATTTCTGCCTATGGAGAACAATGTTTGAAAGAAGCCGTCATTTAGACATGAATTTATGCTTGTTTGTTCTTCAGAAATGAGCTCAGTAAACCATAAATTTCTTTTGAAGAAGAAGAGTACATATTGGAGATATTTATGGATTAGAGATAGGCGAATGAGCTGGATAAAGCTCGTAACTTAGAGCTTCTATGAAGCCAGCATAGAAGAAGCTTATTTGGGAGATTGTCCTCACATCAAAAGCAAAATAACTCATGGGCTACATTCACACAGCACACATAACCTTGACCCTGAAATTTCTACATTTGCACAATACATGGAACCATAGACTAACCAAAAAACTGGCTTTTGCATTGCTAACACAGTAAGCAATGCAAAAGCAAACCAGGGTTCAAACTTACCAAGCTTAAAATTTTTAATTATTATTATAATATAGTTTTTTATGGCTGCCTAGTCAACATGTGACGCTGGGTGGCTAACGTTCAATAAAACATCCATATTAATAATTGAAAACAAAAAGCATTATGCACATGGATAAAAACCCAACAAAACAAACAGTCATTGCTTTAAATGGGTCTACATAATACCCATGTCCAATGCTTGACGGAAGAGCCAGGCCTTTAACATCTTTCAGAAGGCCAGCAAAGTTGAGGCCATCCAAATTTCAGGGAGTATGCTGTCCCATTGGATAGGCAGTATAACAGAGATGGGTCCTATTAGATGCCATTGTTTAATCCTGGGGATCCGGAGCATGCCCACACTTTGTCTGTATACATGCTGCACACTGAGTTTAGGAATAGAGTGGCAGAATGCAGGATCACATTGGATTGCATGTAGAAGGCTTTCTTTACTCTGTTCAGTTAAAAATGAGAGATGGCTTAGTCTTCCAGTAGCACTGAATTTTACATGGTAGAGCAACAAAATGGCATTCCACTTCTGTAATCTAGAATTATGTTGTTAGCTTCACATGATTCTGTTGCCTAGCTCTAATGCTTATGCAGATCTGGCCTCTCAACCTGAGAGGCTTGAGTACCTACCCTACAAAGAGTAATATAAAGATAGCTCCCTAGCTACAGCACACAAGTCATATGGGTAAGACATGTTTTCACTGCAGTGTCAGCTTTTAATGGGGCATTGTTTTCCCCCAATCTGCAATAATCCACTACGAAGGCCTTTGTTATTTCAATTCCAATACTGCATCTATCCACCCCATATGTGTACATCTTTTCTTGTAAGAATTTAGAGGAGGTGAAAGATGGCAGTTTTACAGAACCAGAGATGAGTTTATTTTATACCCAGCAAACTGAGAGCCTATTTGGTGTAGTGGTTATGGTACCAGGCTAGAAACTGGGAGGCTGTGAGTTCTAGCCCTGCCTTAGGCACAAAGCCAGCTGGGGGACCTTGGGCCAGTCACTCTTTCTCAGTCCTAGGAAGGAGGCAATGGCAAACCACTTCTTCTTGCCAAGAAACTGCAGGGACTTGTCCAGGCAGTCACCAGATGTCAGTACTGACTTGAAGGTACACACACACGAAGTACAATCAAAGCAGTACAGTTAAGAAAAAAACAAGCTATTATAACACTCTTAACTAGAACTGGGGGAGAGATTTGCTCTAAAACTCATTTCCTAAACTTATACACTGAAACAGTTTGGGAGGCTTTGGATGCAATTTGTAACTCAAAAGAAGTACAGGTAGCCCCCAGTTTAAGAATGAGTTCTGTTCCCAAGGTCTGTCCTTAAGTCAAATTTGTATGTAAG